CCAGAGCTGAAATTACTGACATTTAAGTTGGAATGAGTCTGATTGGAGTTTAGGAAAGCCCTTGGGTTTATCCTGTTGCGTGTGGGCCTTGACGGGGTTAGCGTGAAAAGAGTTGCCCTGCCTTCACTGGTGCCGGCATCTCATTTTCCCGTTCCCCTTGAGAACATCTAGAGATGTGGAAAATGAGCTATCTTCATCTCTTTTGCTCTCTTGCTTCTCCAGTTAAATAAATAAGACATTACACTGGAGGACCCAGGCCTTCATTACTACATACTCGATGTAATCAGACACGTCTGTATGTTTCTGCATATTCCTAAATAGACATATATTAGAGAGGTCCCAGGAGGTGGAGTTGGACCTTTGAGATAAGTCACACCAGCCATGGGGGATGATCATAGATGGGATGCAGGAATTTGTCTCTTCATGAGAGACGGTTTCATTTTTAACCGTTTGTGGAGACTGAGCTGGTTCAAATATGGCCTTGTTTTGAGTGTATTCCTGATCCCTTTAACCTTTGATTTCATCGTTCGGTTCTGAATAGTAATACTAAGTGATGTATAAAATATAAACTGTCGTATTCGAAAGTTGCCAGTTTAAGTTTTAAGTAAAAAAAGTTTAAGTAAAAAAAAAGCTGATAAAAACGAGTTTTGTCAAAGTCTATGTGCAGATCAGATTCAGAACGATGATCAGAAGCTCATCTTGGGTCCACATTTCACTCAGTAACATTAGGCAGTTTTTATTTATTGACACGGACTCGACTGTATTTTAAAACCAACGGACTCTGTCTCGACCCGGACTCGACCCTTCAAAGACTCGGTCTTGACTCTGACTCAACTGTATTTGAAAACCAACGGACTCGGCCTTGACTCGGACTCGACCCTTCAAAGACTCGGTCTTGACTCTGACTCAACTGTATTTGAAAACCAACGGACTCGGCCTTGACTCGGACTCGACCCTTCAAAGACTCGGTCTTGACTCGGACTCGACTGTATTTGAAAACCAACGGACTCGGCCTTGACTTGGACTCGACCCTTCAAAGACTCGGTCTTGACTCGGACTCGACTGTATTTGAAAACCAACGGACTCGGTCTCGACCCGGACTCGACCCTTCAAAGACTCGGTCTTGACTCTGACTCAACTGTATTTGAAAACCAACGGACTCGGCCTTGACTCGGACTCGACCCTTCAAAGACTCGGTCTTGACTCGGACTCGACTGTATTTGAAAACCAACAGACTCGGACTCCACCCGGACTCGACCCTTCAAAGACTCGGTCTTGACTCGGACTCGACCCTTCAAAGACTCGGTCTTGACTCGGACTCGACTGTATTTGAAAACCAACAGACTCGGACTCCACCCGGACTCGACCCTTCAAAGACTCGGTCTTGACTCGGACTCGACCCTTCAAAGACTCGGTCTTGACTCGGACTCGACTGTATTTGAAAACCAACGGACTCGGCCTTGACTTGGACTCGACCCTTCAAAGACTCGGTCTTGACTCGGACTCGACTGTATTTGAAAACCAACAGACTCGGACTCCACCCGGACTCGACCCTTCAAAGACTCGGTCTTGACTCGGACTCGACTGTATTTGAAAACCAACGGACTCGGTCTTGACTCAGACTCGACCCTTCAAAGACTCGGTCTTGACTCAGACTCGACAGTATTTGTAAACCAACGGACTCGGTCTTGACTCAGACTCGACCCTTCAAAGACTCGGTCTTGACTCGGACTCGACCCTTCAAAGACTCGGTCTTGACTCGGACTCGACTGTATTTGAAAACCAACGGACTCGGTCTTGACTCAGACTCGACCCTTCAAAGACTCGGTCTTGACTCGGACTCGACTGTATTTGAAAACCAACGGACTCGGTCTCGACTCGGACTCGACCCTTCAAAGACTCGGTCTTGACTCAGACTCGACAGTATTTGTAAACCAACAGACTCGGTCTGGACTCGGACTCGACCCTTCAAAGACTCGTCTTGACTCGGACTCGACTGTATTTGAAAACCAACGGACTCGGTCTTGAATCAGACTCGACCCTTCAAAGACTCGGTCTTGACTCGGACTCGACCCTTCAAAGACTCGGTCTTGACTCGGACTCGACTGTATTTGAAAACCAACGGACTCGGTCTCGACTCGGACTCGACCGTTCAAAGACTCGGACTTGACTCAGACTTAGCATAGGCGGTCTTGTCCCCATCACTAGCGTCTGTATGATACGCACTTTATGGTGTGTAATGCGTTTTCAGTGCGTAGCATATGCACGCAAAAAAACATTTTTGGCGTATAAATGGCACGAGAGATGTATTTATACAGTATTTATATAGTTTTTACCTCTTGTAACCACAGCCATGTCCAAGTGATCTGAGGGCGTGGGCGCTTTGTGGCTGTGGTTACAAGAGGTAAAAACGATATAAATACTGTTTGTTTTCTCACACAAACCGTTCGTTTCGTGTCTTAGGCCATCAGTGTGTACTTGCATTTATGAGTCATTAAATCATGTTTAATTTGGACTTCTCTGTGCATGCTCTTTGAGGTGGTGACCATAGACCTGCATTATGTGACTGACAGACAAGAACGGTTTGACCTAAAAACATCAAAATTGAAAATACTGTGGAAACAAAGACACCTAAATCTTGGATGCCCTCGAGGTAAGCTAAAACATACCAAAAATTAATTTCAAATTGAACTATCCCTTTAATACGCATGAGCATGTAGTCACTGTTTTCACAAATTTACGTTTTTGTAATTCACTTGATAACGGTAAACTCGCTCTTTGAAACCCGTCTTCAACAGTGCATTTTCAGGCGCCTAAATGCCGTCGTTGTGTAAATAAACTTGAAATGAGTAGCAACAGTAACATTGTAAAAGCTACAAGACAAAGGAATGGAGGAATGGAAAAAACGACCATTTTCTGACACTAACACTAGCAGTGTTTATTGTTCTTTACTCCTGTCATAAGGCATTTGGATGGAAATGCGTCATCCAGCCATTGATGTGATTTCAATGGCGACATCTGTACAATTCCAGGAGTTACTTAGGATATATTGAGAAATAAATTAAATAATAATACTGAATAAAGAGGTGATGAAAATAAAACTTTTCAGTGTTGGTTAAAGATTGCAAGAATTGTATGTTGGAAATGACAGTCAGACACTACTAGTAACGTGCCGGTTGCCTTCAGATATGTTTCCCGTCTGGTTAAGGTGGCAATTTCCTGCTATTGTTCAAAAGAATGTGTGTGATCTTACGAGAACGTGGCGTGTTATTCCCAACACGGTTCATCTCAAGAGTTTACATTCAGGTAAATTTAGACGCATGGGAAAACTGTATTTTTTCAAAACTATTTTATTATTTACGGAAGCATATTGCATTCACTTTTGCATTCAGTTTTTCTGAATTAACGAGTTAATTATCTCAAAGTTACAAGTCATTTTTTTCATGTAAAAAAATGTTTGCTCTGTTTTTCTGAATTAATGACTTGATCATCTCAAAAACTCAGAAATTCAGAAAAACAGAGCAAAAACTTCTTTTTTTTTTTTAAATTCTGAGATAATTATCTTGTTGATTCAGAAAAACAGAGTAGATTTTGTTTCCTCAAGTGAATGCAATACGCTTCCTCTGTAATTATTAGTTGTCACATTTGAAAAACAATCTAGTTTTGGGACCATGAGCTCAAACTAAATTATTACAAAAATCCTTTAGCAACAACACATATAATCATTATGCAATACATTTTAAATTGTGTAATAATTGTTTAAATGGATGGTAACACTTTATTTTAAGGTAAATACTACAGTAAATGCTACTGACTAACAGTAAATGATGCATAATTAATAACCCTAAACCAACCCCTAACCCTATAGGTTAAGTAGTGTAATGTAATGTCACCTTAAAATGTAGTGTCCTTGTAACATATGTTAACATTGCAATAATCGTAAATTATGCACAATTAGATGCAACTAACAAACAAACCATAACCCTATAGTTAATGCTAATTAATATTACCCAATTACACTGTAACAATGACATCTTAAAATAGTGTGTAACCAAATGTACAATCACAAGCAACTCCAAAATATGATTTGGCTTCATATTAAGTGTTGTTATGTAGCCTATATGCGGATATCTAACCCTTGTAACGATGTGTCATCAAGCTTATGTGAGAACCGCTTCAGGTGACATCGATGAGGAGTGTATATTAAGTGTTTGGTTCCCTGCTGATATTCACACGTCACGCATCAGCAGATCTGCCCACTGTAAACCTGCCGCTGGTTCTTTGAAGGAGTTTTCTGGTGGAGGAAATGGAGTTAGTGAAGTGAACAGGGTCAACCTAACAGGAAAGAGACGCGCACGGGTGACGCGTGGATGGGACACGATCCTCGCGAGACAGACATCGCTAACCAAAACATAAATGCTATTTATTATTTCAAATGCATTTTTTCCTTGTAAAATATATCACGAAGCACAAACAGATAAATTTGTTTTTTTATTCGTTTTAGAAGAAATAGTACGGAGCCCCTAAAGGGACATTGTGGGAGATGGGGAAAAATAAGTCTATTGCTTTCTTTACAAATGTTTTTGCGTTCACCGTTAAACTTTTGCAAAACCTTTTGAGCTCAAGTTTCTCAAAAAAAAAAAAAAAAAAAAAATTGCGATCTCAAAAACATTAAAAAATATTGTTGTTTCCCCTCCATCTCATGTTATTTCCCTTCACCATGTCCATTTAGGAGCTCCGTAACAGAAACAGCACAGAAACAGTTCATTCAACATGTGTTGAATGAACGAAATTTGATTTGTTTATAAATGTTAGTGTCCCGCAGAAGATATTCGGATGTCCTCGAGTAAGCTTCACGCTTTCCCCCTCTCTCTCTTTCTCTCCTTCTCTTTTATGGTCTTGTGCTCATTTCAGTCAGATTCCCCTTATTTCACGGTTCAGTGGATGTGCAGGGGTGAGCTCGCGCGTTCTCATTGGTCAGCGAGCCGCCTCTCTCCCATCTCTCTTAGTCTTTCCCCATTCATACATCCCTCCTCTCCTCCTCAACATTACTCACACTTATCCATGACAATCACTTTCTCATAGACGGGACTAATTATTAAAGACTGGAAACGAGTTTACCGAGAGACAAAGACCAGACAGGTGAGTTTGTGTAGTAGCCTACAGTGTGTGAGGTTCAGAAGCCGAGCTTGTGTTCTTTCTGTTTTAGTAGTTGCAATGGTCTTGAATAAAAACACATGCACGTGGAGCTACTTTTTAGTTTGGATTCCTTGTGCATTTTGTTATGTTGCTTCTTTGCTCTGTCCCAATGTGTCGACAGTCGAGGGAAAAGCTATTTGATGGATAACACGCACACGCTTCAAATGCAACACTAGACGCTTTTCGGAGGAGAGACGATGCAGTTACTTAACAGTCCTGTTGAGCCTCCAGTCATTTAATTGGCCACAGATGCGGAATTCTATGCTCTTTTACCGTTTAGAAATTGGATGCATTTGGGAAAGTTTATGAGGCGAGCCCAGCCCTCGCCCGCAGGAGCCCGGGGTCTGACGCTGCGAATATAAATCGAGCGAATTATAAGACTCCTGATTTATTCATTACGGTCAGTGTGTTCAGGTATCGAAATGTCAACATCTCGTTTCTTATCGCGATGACAGGCAACTGACGAATGCATTTTAATTTAGCATAATTAGCTATTTCGTTTATTGTTGCATTATTTGATCTGTAAAGTGTGTAAACACGTATGATTTTGATGCTTTATGCGCAAATTGATTTCAAAGAAATGTTGTTTCAGTAGTATCGGCTTTGAAATTACAACTAGAACTGAAAACAAGTTGAATTATCGTATTTTCATAAGCAAAGTGGCAACCTGCAGTCATTAAATTACGATTGAAGAAAGTCGGGTTGACGCTCTGAAAAATAGAAATACAGAAATTAGGCTACTTTAATGCGTTTAGTGGATTGAAACAAAGCTCATATTAGCCTATATTACGCAATGAATGAATATAAAATGTTTTTTACACGGATGTTTCGGGAAAGTACCTGATTATCAAGAACGGACTTCAGCTGTTTCGGTATATAAATCCTAAACACTCAACAAAACATGAAGTATTTATTATTACAGGCTACCTATGCAATTCATCACCATGATATTCTTCAAACTAAATCACCATTCAATAATTATAGCCTCTAGAGAAGGATAAATACTCTTTATATGCGTCGATTTGATGTGTCAAAAGTTTGCGTTTGCCCATTTCTCTTGTGTTCTGACATGGCCATCGGGTATTTTGATTGTGAACTGCGGAGGAATGTTGAATAATTCTAGTGCCAGTCTGCTCTGTAATTGCACGAGGGAAAGGCAAAAGACACCGTCCCCGAGGTGCCCTTTCACCCGAGCCTCTGTAAGCTACACTTATTAAAACGAAAAGTGTTTCAATATGTGTCTGCTGGAAGTGAATGGGCTGGGCCTATATACTGCACTAATTGACTTATCTCATATAGCACATATAGAAACATATCGAAAAAAGAAAGAAGAACGGGAAAGAAAAGAAAAAGCATGATATAGATTAAATGGATATATAGTTTATAAAATCATAATAACGATGCAAAAAAAAAAGTATTATTATTATTATTATGGCTTCACTGACACCTTAGCCAAAATAACCTACTTCATAAAACAGAGGCTTGTGTAGTTAATTATTTAAAAAAAAAATTGAACCTCTGGAGGGATGAAAGGTAAAAGCTACAATTCTTACAGGAATAAATGCAGCTCTGTTTCTCTTGCCTCTCATAAGCTCATGAACCAGATCTGACCTCTCTGTTTTGATTGGCTGGATGTGGCTTTACGGGCTGGAAAGCAAAGGTTCCCAAATATACAGAATAACTGCTGCGTTGCAAATGATTCGACCATAAATACCCGATGCATGTATACAGAAAATGCAGATACATAAGTTTTATCTATGATAACATCTCTTTAGTGGATTAAGAAACGCATTTCTTATAGAATCTGAGACACAAATCAATTTTAAGATGAAAATAAATGAAAGATTTGTGACTATGCATTTCAGTAGACTATAATCAAGTTAATTTTTAGAAATTAAGACAATTTTCTTGATGTGGGGATCAGAATTAAGGGACAAATTGGCTTTTTGTCTAATTATTATTAGGCTTTTTTTTTTTTTGTATGTTCATTTGTTTTGCACTGGACAAACTCTAGTTTCCTCTAAGATGACATGTGGACTTGTTTTTTGAAGGGGCCGTGAAGTGAACATCACACATTTCCGGGCTCTCTGTCCAATGAAAATGTTTCAGACCGTCCCCGACACTTCGTCTTACGTCAAGGTAAGACAACATCGTCACTACGAGCAGGTAATGTTGGAGGAAACAGACTGGAACTTCTAAATTGCCTTTTTCCTCTTACGATTTACATGACTGACGTAAATGGTTTGTAAAAACGCAGGTTCGCCTCTCGTCATATTTGCCGTAAAATGAACGACTGGGTTCATCTCTCTAGCTTGATCTGAACAATGAATGAAGGGACGGGCCATCTTTGACCTTCACAAATGTTACTTATATTGTACATTATTGCATTTGACATGGTGCCCTTTTTTCCTCTCTCTACATGCTTTTAAAGAATGTAAACATTGCAAATGGCAGACATCTGTTTTTGCATAGGTTCGACCAAGCAGGGAAGTTTCCATTTAGAACTCAAACTCTCTGATGGGTTCGAGTCCACTGTAAAAGCCATGCACCGAACACATTCAGACTGACATTGATTATGCCACTTCTACTGGATTGCGCTCTTCTTGATGCAAACATGGTTAATACCTCTTTATGAAAGGTATTAGTATCACTGTTCCTTTTTTAAAGGCTGAAATTGGCATATTTGGATGGTTATTTATGGCAAAGTGCCACCGCAATAACTTTAATGTATCAGAAGGCTTAGTGCTCAGCATACAGACAGAGCCATGAAAATGAAGTATTGTGCCTGCTAAAGTCATTCATTATATCTTTACAATCAGCATACTTTCCAGAGCCGAGTTGTTATGTTATGGAGACTTATTGCCCCCCTGCATAAGGGAGCTTTTCATGCAGACGCTATAGTTTGTGTTCCTCCACAGAGGGGCTGCGTTTCACAGTCCCACGAACAGTCCTCGATTTGTTTCGAGACATTAGCAGCGCAGGAATGTTGAGGGAAAACCTTCGCTTTGAAATCCAGCTTTCTCTCCACAGACTGAATAATAAATAGTACATTGCATGGCATTGGAGTCGGGCTGCATACAAACAACAATACAACGAAGCAATAGAAAGAGTCTTTGAGAAGATTATTATTATTTGATGATTATTTTTTTTTTTTTTTTTTTTTTTTTTTTTTTTCATTTAAACAAGTAAGCAAGTGTCTGTGTTTAGACAGTCTACTCCCAAAACCAAAACTAAGTTTTTGTTTCGGTCAAAATATACAAATATTTAACAAAATTGTTCCAGAAGTGACCCCTTTCCTTTTCACATTTCCGGGTTACTCAGAAGCGGAAGTCATTGTTGGGTAAACTTGTATTGCGGTGAATGAGAGACTGCATAAAAAAAGTGTTCCCATTTGCTCAAATAGGAAAATAAAAACTTTTCACAACTTTCAAAATTAAAGTGAGGCTGAACAACCTCACAGCATCATTCACTAGTTTTTTGTTGTTGTTTTTTTTTTGTTTTTTTTTGGGGGGGGGGGGGTTGTCATGTGATGCAATACAATACAAATACAATAATACAATACAAAGTAGTGTTATAAATGTAGGGTAGCCTAAATACATTTACAATAATAATAATAATAAAATAAAATAGGCCTATATATAAATAACTTTGCAGGATTTACGATTAATGACCGTTAAAACGCGTCATCACAGTCTGTGAAAGGGTCCGCCAGATAAACGCTCATATTTGAATGTTTTTGCCGCCGGGCAGAATTTCAGCGGGAAATGGATTTACCTCAGCACGCCTCAAGAAAGGCAAGTTTCAGAGAAATATTCAGCCTCATTCAGGCGAAGCCGTGAGTTAAGGTTTTTGTTTGGTTAAGGCCGGGCGAGACTGGAGCTTTCCAATAAAAATAAATCTCAAATTAATTATGGCCCGGAGCAGGAGGCCAGACAGTTTGGTGTTGTGTGCTGCAGTCTCTATTTTTTCGATGTGCGTGTCATTCTCAGCTCGTGACGGTGTCGCGCAACCTGAGAAGCACCATGCGATTACCGCGGATATGTTTCGAATATTTGTCTATAGATAGATAGATAGATAGATAGATAGATAGATAGATAGATAGATAGATAGATAGATAGATAGATAGATAGATAGATAGATAGATAGATAGATAGATAGATAGATAGATAGATAGATAGATAGGGTATATTGGCTACTTGTAGATCAACCTGTTGTTATGTATGGTATGTTCGAAAGTCCTTTCACCACCGGAGGAAGCCTCTGGCCTCACTTTGGGTTAGTCTTACTCAGGCACTTCAGGGTTTTTCCAGTAGCGTTGGGCCACTGGCTTCCCACAGGTCGTGGTTGGGAGAAATGCCTGGCTGTCAAGCGTCAGCGTCGAGCCAGATGTTCTGTGGCTCACTACATAAACCAACATGCATTTGTTTATTGGCCTTCCAAAATGTTTGTTACCGCTGGACTCATAATGACCTGGGCAAGTGCCACGCGGGAAAAGAGACTTATTTTCTTTCTCTTTTTTTTAGGTTTAATGATGCACTTCTTAGATATGTTTGCTCCATTAATAAAAACATAATTTATTTTTGACGTGTTATCATTACATTTTGAAAGAGTTATCTGTATCTGGAAAGAAACATGATTTAGACAAGCAGATGATGCCTAAATTGTGGATTTCTATAGAAGAAAAGACTGTCGTCATCAAAAGATCGAAAAAATGTTTGCTTGAAACGACTGTGAATGAAACGATTGTGTTCATAATTTATCTGATAAATAGTTTGGCTTCGAGTAAAGAGACGTCTCATTTATAATAATCGAAATAGAGACCATAAAACATAATTATACTGTCATTAGTGACCCCTCTCCGCCAGATCTCAGTCTCGTCATGCGCTCAGAGATAATGGTGTTTTAATTAAAAGAATTGTGGAGTCTAAGCGGCCCCTCTAGGGAAACATATGTTTCGGCTATCAAGTCCCACGCTCTGTGAAAATGATGTCCACCCTTGCACTGCAACATTCAAATGTCCCAAAACTTGATATGATGATCCACATCTGCATTAGCTAACCATAAGTAGCCTAATGTAAGGTTATTCCGTCTAAAACCCATTCCCCTCCTTCTGCTTTGTCAGATTCCTCTACTTGTCTTATATTCCCCACTCAATCAAGAATGCAGAACAAAGAAATTGATAAATGTATGCCAACACCGTTTATTTGAATAAAAGAAAAAATCCGGGTTGTTCTGTGCACGAGAGAGGCACGGACTCGAAATGGTTAAACAAGGTGTCTCCGTTAATTACTGCGCAGGCCTCAGGCAGGAGAAGCCTTGACCCCTAGCAGGATCCAGATGTGGAGCTCTCGAGGGGGCCTCCCCTCCCCCCTCCCAGACCCCCATGTCGCAAACAGTGCAAGTCAGCCGGCGCAGACTCAGTCTCGCTCCCCGAGGCTTGGCCCGCTCGGTCAGGGGGTCTCGTGATCCGGGGGTCTGGCTGCGCGTCTAGAGTGCGCTCGGTAATACAGCTCACCGTTAAAAAAATAAATAAAATCGTAGGGGTGGAGATTCACTTGCATTTGAGAATGGTAAATACAAAAAAAAAAAAAAAACGCTGGGTTGTTTTAACATGTTTGGGTCACATATGGACAACCTCAACCGTTGGTTTACTTTTTTTTTAAACCCAACGGTTGGTTTAAAACGTTAAACATTTAAAAACCCAACTGTTAGTTTAAACTTTGTAAATCTGTTTAACCCAACGGTTGGTTTAAACATTTTACATTTTTAAACCCAAAGATTGGTTTAAAAGTTTTAATCTGGAAACCCAACGGTTTAGTTATGTTTTATTTCATTTTATTTAAAATTGTAAACCCAACCTTTGGGTTTTGTCCATATTTGACCTAAACATGGGTTGAAACAACCCAACATTTTTTTAAGTATAATATTTATTAAAAATAGAATTATTGACACTACAATAATCTGTTTAAATCTAATGTGTATTTTAATCTTTTTCCAGAACGAAAGTAAATATTTACTGTAGAAATAATGTCTAGAAAAGAGACGGTTCCCCTCGTTGCACGTGAAGACGTGAAAAAAAGTGAAGCCATGTGCTATTGATTTGGAGAAATGTTGAACTGCAAGCACTCGAGACGTATATGATCCATATACAGCCAATGCTATGCGTGTGCATTCAGAAGCGCGCACACGTGTGGAGCAGACAGACTCTACGCTGCAGGCTTCGCTTTTATTAATGGAAACCCACATTAGCAGCGAGAGAAGTTCGGACAGACTCGTCACATTCTTCACTTCACATGGGTATATCCAACTCGCGTTTTCGTTTAAATAGCGGAATACCGATCATAATATTATACCGTTATGCATTCGATTTCAACAAACCATCTGCATTCATGGTCAAACGATTTATAAAGTTATTATTTTTATTTGAATATTTTTCTATCAGCTTAGTCTTTTATTATTATCTATAGTTTTATTATTAATCATTAGGCTATGTTTAACATACAGTGTTTCTACGAAATCTATGACTATTTTAATGTTGGAAAAAGCGCAACAAATGTGAAGAGCTGGCAGGCATTCTGTAAATATTTCCAGGCAAAAACATGTACAGAGGAAAGAAACACTATTGTTTTGGTGTCTTATCTTCTCGGGACAAATATCCTGCTTTGGGTGCCGTAATGAAGGCAGGGCCAGTGACACACACACATACACACACACACACACACACACACACACGCACGCACGCACGCACGGCTTCCTTCTCAAGCACAGTGACTTCACTTCCCAAATTTAGAGGAAAAAAACCATCCGGCGAAACTGTCTGTGTCTCTCCGCCACATATCGGGGCTGGAATTAATTCAGACGCGTGTCATGTTTGGAATATTGTCGGGCTCCACTGAAAATTGCGCAAAATGGACGGAACTATTAAGGTAAGAGCGGAGGAGAGGGATCTTTCTGAGATGGACAGAGTTTGAGAGCTTGTAGTCTGGGACTTTTCAGCCGCTCCGAGTTTGTGCTTTTCCTCTTCTCTCTCTCTCCCTCTCCCTCTCTCTCTCCAAGTTTCCTTTTCCTTTTCGTCGAAACTTTGTTGAAAGTTGAAAACTGTAGCGGAGGATACGAGCGTTCGGTCGCGCGCTCTTGGACGCTCGTGAAAACGCACGGGCTGTTTG